AGTCCCACCGCTGTCCGTTGTTCTCTGCATGAGCGCGGCTCCTCCGGCCCGGGCGCCGCCATTTTGGGTCCCAGTGGCATCTGATTTTCAAGTTCAAACGCCGCCTTGGTGATTTGGCCCAGAAAGAGAGGCTGATGTTCAGGTGAGCAGAGGGACCCTGGGAAGAGAGGAGTCGCCATTCGGTTGCCCCGTTCTGTGGGATGGTGGGATGGGGGAATGGATGGTAAAGGATCTTTCTGAGGAAGGATTGCCCGCTGGTAACGGGATGTAGGCAGCCAAGTGAGTGCGGAGGCCCAGCGCGACTTGGGTTCCCCGACGGGAAGAGAAGGAAGGCTGTCATTGGACAGTCTCTCCGGGAGGGGCGGTGACGCCAACACGTGGCATGGAGCCTCAGTTGGAGCACGTTGGTGATTGGTGTTAAATAGAAGGACTCGCACGTGTGCAGCACTGAGGCCTCTCAACCCCCCTCGAGCGCAAGGGTTTTCGCAGACCTAGTGCAGCGCAGTTTTGGAACGAGCACCTCGCAGGTTCCCAGTGACTGTTTAACGAAGGTAATGAAGAATTAGGGGTTTGACTTCAAGGTTCTTTCATTCTTTGATCTTTTTCTAATTGATTTTTTTTTTAGAGGGAGGAAGGGAGAGAGAAACATTGATGTGAGAGAGAAACATCTATTGGTTGCCCCTTACACACACACACACACACACACACACACACACAGCGAACCTGTAACCTAGGGGTGTGCCCCAACCTGGATGTACAGGACGCTCCAGCCAATTGAGCTACCGGGCCGGGGCTGCTGTGGTAGGTTTTTTTTTTAAGTACAGTGGGGCCTTGACTTACGAGTTTAATTCGTTCCCAGACCGAGCTCGTTAACTCAAATTACTCTATCAACTCAATGCAAAATATCGGCCGAGAGACAGCTGGTATCTCAAAAAACTCGTTAGTCGGGCCACTCGTAAGTCAAGGCCCCACTGTACCTACTATTTAGCATGCTTAAAAAATACTTGATTTATCCCTCCGCTGCTGTGGCTCAGTGGTTGAGCCTTGACCTATGAACCAGGAGGTCCCAGTGGGTTGGATCCCCAGTGAGGGGCATGCAGGAGGCAGCCCATCCATGATTCCCACTCCCTTCCTCCCTCTGAAATCAATAAACATTTTTATTTTATTTTATCAACTACTTCTGTTTATTAACCACTTATTTAGTGCTTAAGATATGCCAGGAACTTAGTAATTCTTCTAACAAAGAAAGGCAGTTTCTGTTAAGATGAGGAAAATGGGACAAAGAGAAGTGCTGGGGTTCGGACCCCTGCAGGTTTTTTTTTTCCCTCCTTTCATTTTTACGTTTACATACGTAAGTTTACATAAAGTAAAACTGACTTCTGTTTGGTATATAGTTCTATGAGGTTTTTTTTAATGATGCGTAATTGCCAATGTAACATTATATTAGTTTCAGGTGTGTGTAAAACATAATGATTCAATGTTTATATATTGTGAAAGGATCACCACGAAAATAAATCTACTTAACACCTATCACCATACATAGTCACAAAAATATTTTTTCTTGTGATGAGAACTTTTAAGATGTAGTCTCTTAGTAACTTTCAAAAATGCAATTAACTATAGTTTTATGAGCTTTAATACCTTCTTAGATTCATGTGACCTCCACCATAGTCTGGGTGAAGAACAAGAAATTTCCTTGTAGTTAAACCTTCCTCAAACTCTTAACCCCTGGCAATCACTAATCTGTCCTCTGTCTCATAGTTTTGCATTTTCCAGAATTTGATGTAAAACCTGCAGTGTATGAGAGTTCCAGTTGATCCCCATCCTCACCAGCACTTGGTATACCAGATTTTTCTTGTTTTGTTTTAGCCATTCTGATAAATGCGTGGTGATTTTTTCATTGTGCCTTTCCTTAATGGATAATGATGAGGAGCATCTTTTCATGTGGTTAATCTTTGGCAAAAAATGTTCAAGTCTTTGCATATTTTCATATTGTGCACTTTTTAAGAGTTGATTATATATTCTGCATTCAAATTCTTTATTGGATATGACATTTGAAAATATTTCTTTTGGGTTACACACCCTCCCCCCACTTCTATTAACAGTTTCTTTGAACATATTTTAAATAGTAGATATAAAGTCTTTGTCTAGTAAGTGCAATGTCTGGGCTTCCACAGGAACCTTTTGTATTACTTTTTTTTTTCTTTGTGGGGCCATACTTTCTTGTTTTTTGTATACCTTGTAGTTTTATGTTGAAAATTGGACATTTTGAATATTATAGTATAGCAACGCTGGAAATCAGATTGATCTTCCTCTCCAAGGTTTGTTATTGCTGCTTATTATGGTGGTTGCATGTTTAGTGACTTTTCTGAACTAATTTTGTAAAGTATGTAATCTTTGTGATGTATAGCACTGAAGTCTCAGTTTCATTAGCTTAGTGGTCTTCTAGGGATTGGACAGTTTTCCTTAAGTGCCTAGAACAACAACAGAATATCTTAGTATTTACAGATGGGCTCTGTGTATTGCTGCACAACTTCCCTTAGCCTTCACTTCCTCCTTGAGCAGAACCTGAAGGTGAGCCAGAGATGGGAGCTTAGGGCCTTCTCAGATCTTTTCTAAGCATGTACCCATCCTTGGAATGCACATGGTCTTTTAGGTTCCCAGGAATACATGGGAGCTTTTCTAAGCATGTACCCATCCTTGGAATGCACATGGTCTTTTAGATTCCCAGGAATACATGGGAGCTTTTCAAAGCCCTCATTCTCCAAAGCCTCTCATTCTCTCCCAACTTCTTTGGTGTCTTCATGCAGCACCAAACTAATTATTTTTTGCTTGTAAATGTTTCCAACAAACTCCTTCCAGCTAGCCACTTTTTAGCACTTGGAGAGTTCTGAATGAGGCAAGATAAAGTCATCTTTTGTGCCAGTCTTCCAGGGCACCACCAGACAGGTAAACACAAATTATTACAATTCTTTGCTTTGTGAATAAAGTCCTTCTGTGCCCTTTGGTACTGTTACTGGGACCAGAAAGGCAGACTGAGCTGGAGAATGGGGAAATGCCACAAAGCTCACTGCTCTAACCAAAATCCAGCTAGTTTTTCTTAAGTGTTTCACTGTTATGAAGTGCATCAAGTAGTTTCTGCAAGCTTTTGGTTAGTTTCCAGAATTCCAAAAAAGTTGATTCTGCAAGTTTTTTATTGCTTTTATGGAGGAAAAACTTTTGGAGTTCCTTACTTTGCTATTTTCACTCACTCAAAACTGAGAGAACAGGCCCAAGTTTTCCTAGTAAAATACCAAAAGAGAAGAAATGGATATTCATTTTTGAAGTGTTTGTACATTCTACAATAGTATCATCAAGGTATTTCAGGAGCCCCACTCATATGGTTATAGTGCATGGGCAGCTTGCTTTTCTCATTT